TCGTGTCATAAAAATCCATCTCATTCCCTTTTTCGTATGCAAGTAAGAACTCAACAAGGGCCACCAATGGTTTTTCCATATCCCTAACGCACTTCTTCATGTCGGAGCCGCAATCTTGGGCGCCTCAAAAGTCATTATTTAAAAAAAAATAAAATGCACCTTATTCATCCGCAGACACGAGAGACATCGGGGTTGCCAATGGTGGATATAGGCAAGTGGCTAGCATTGGAGAGTATGAGGTGTGAAATCCCTTAAGTGAAATAAAGCTAAATTCGTAGACATTGGGGCAATTTTTTGTGTTACAATGGAATTTCAATAATAACTCCAAAGTTAAGTGTGCTCGTTGTCACCTCCCAAAAGAGCCCTTATGGGTGGTGGGCAGCCCAGACGTAAAATACTGCTTTTCAGCCCTACCCCTAGCTGATGCGAGACTTTTTGTCTGTGACATTCTCCTCCATCCAATCAGATGCGAGACTTTTTGTCTGTGACATTCTCCTCCACCCAATCATCAGACACCCTCATCACGGATCGACGCGCTCGTCACGAATTGGCTCCACTGAGGGTCCCACTGAACCATGGTGAGTCCACACACCTAGTAGGCAGTAATATGCCCTGACACCACGTGTCACCTCCCAAAAAAGCTCTTAAGAGAGGTGGTCAGCCCAGGACTTAAATACCGCCCTTCGGCTCTGCCGGAATGCGATTTTTTGCGAAATGAGATTTTTTGTCCGTGATAATAAGCTCTAAACATGCACATACTAGGCATTCACATGTACACATATACTAGACATTCACATGTACACATTGTTGTAAAAATTATAAAAATAAAAAGTAAATATCTAAAACATAAAAGGAAATTCTTTATTCTTATAGAGAGAAAATTTAGATTGTCTTACTATTCTTATAAAATATTATGTTATCCTTATTAAGCAATCTGCACTTCCAATGAAATTTTGTGGGGGTAAGTTACATGTTATTGCTCCAATCTGCCCGTGGGCCCCAATTAACACTGCCCAAACAACTCCTATTCTAGCCACAACAACAATACGGGACAAAATTGGCAACCTTATCCAACTATTCCAAGAAGATGGACTTTTTGTAGAACTTTCCTTAGTCCAATAATTGATCATTATTTCATCTCTTCAATACTTTATGTGCTGTTAAATTGATAATTATTTTTTATGAATCAGAATTTGGTGAATATTAAATATTATTTTTCTATTAACATTTTTGCTTGTATTCTTTATAAATAACATATAGATATTGTTAGTGCTTTTTATAATAATGAATATCACATAAATTTTATCCTTTTATACTTATGATAATTTTTTTTTGGATATTTACATACATGCCATTCAATTCTTATGCTTATGCATATATATAAGTCTTAAAACCTCAATTTTTACATATATGTCACATTACTTGTGCATGAAAAGTTGTAGCTCACTTTTTAGAAGTTCAAATAGTGGTATTTTTATGTTATATGAAAGATTTGAGTGGTATAAATGTAAAAAAGTAAATTTTGTGTGTAAGGCATGTAAATACATAGGAATTAGGTGGAATGTATGTAAATGTCTTCTTTTTTTACAGTTCCACATTTATCCATCCTTGGGAATTGTGATAATTTAAAGGATTTAAAAACTATATTAAAATTGTGTTATTTTGCATATATAATGTGTTGGAGTTCTATTTTGAACTAATTCAGAGGGAATGCTTATTATTTCTTATCAACATGAATACGGTAATATGTCTTTTTAAAAGAAGCTGGAACTCTTGATTGCTCAAATTCAAGTTTTTTTTTAACATTGTGTTTAGATTGTATTTTAATTGTAGTCTATGAAATCAATTTGTTATACTATCACATAAAAATAGTGAAATTTATAGAAATAGTACATGTATAAGATGATGACGTTTAAATATATATATTTTTACAACAACAACAAGCCTTTATCCCACTAAGTGGAGTCAGCTACATGAATTCTTTTTCTCTATTGTGTCTTATTGAGTGTCATATTTTCATTTAATTCTAACATATTGAGTGTCATAATGTTGATTTCAGTTGATGATGACACTAATCACAAACAATTGGCATCAATGTTTAAACATTGATATATGAAGATGATCGACATCAACATTATGTTAGGGGATGGATGATGGTTGGCATCTTAGCATCATTGTTGGTTGATAGTAGACATTAGTATTGGTTGATGATGGTATGATTATGAACATCAAATTTAGTCGAGGGTGGTTTTATAATGGGAATTATTAGGATTGACTATTGTTTTTAATGTTGATTGTGGCACTATTTTAACAACTAATAAATAATAATGGGTAGCACTATTAGTCGTTATCTTGCATCATGTAGTATTAAGCATAACTTTAGCTTGCTTCGAGTTTGAGAATTTTCTAAATCAAAAATTTTTTCCTCTGTGAGGGCTTTTTGGTCAATTCTAATCGGGGTTGGGGCACTCCAACGGATGGTCTAAATTGATTCCCCTTAATATTTTGATGATTTTTAAACATTTTAGTATCTTAATAAACTTGGACTAAACCCATCTTGTATTTTTTTGTAATATCTTTTTGAGACATTCATTTTGACTATAAATATACATAATTTTGATAATATTTAAAATCGTAAACATACACAAAATTTCAAATTATAATTTTAATTATTAGATTTAGGCTCATTTAGAATTAAATTCTAGCATTTTAAAACTTAGGCTCATCTCTTCAAACAATATTATCTCAATATAAACTAGCTAAAAAATACAATTTAAATTAACTTGGAAGAAATTCTCATAGTTTTTGGCCTAAAAATTTACATATAAATAAAAAGTTATGATGTCTTAATACAAATTTTTTGGGCCAAAACATCTAACTTCTAAACATTACACTATTTTAGCTTTTAATGGCTTATATGTAAATGCATAAGAATGGAAGGATATGTTTGTAAATCTTTTTTTTTTTTTTCCCCCTTACAATCATGTGTTAGTTTGAAGCTACGTTGATTGGATACGGGGTGTATTCCTTTCACATTAGCCGCACCAAGAAATGAATTTTTTTACAAAACGGGCCAAAGGCACTTGAGGACAGGCGTTGCCCGTCGCTTGGAAATTAACTAATTGTACATCCGCACCCTAAAAAGTTAAACTTGTTAATTAGTATCGGTCACATCTCGGCAAATACCAAGGCTTGCACGAATTAATATTACATAAATGGGAGCTATTTGCGGCTTTTTAGTTATTTTAAAGTTTTTGAAATTTTTTTGTGCTGCTCGTGCTAAAATGACTTTATTATTATTATTATTATTATTATTATTATTGAAAAAGAAGGTTTACAATGAAAATTGTTGAATCGGTTTCGGGCGTCAGACCCCATAATGTTTCTTAGTTAACATAAATCAGGAATAAAATAAGCTATCTAGGCTAAATTTCATACCAAAATTTTTTTTTGTGCGGACTCCTGACGTAGCTCTATGTGCGGCGGAAGTTATTTCTGAGTTATTTTAAGGTTATTTCTGAGTTATTTTCAATAATACTGAAA